ACCAAATGCAACAAGATGCATATTAATTTCTGCAACTAAAGGATTGAAGTAGTTATTTAATGCATTTGAAAAGATGAATGCATTTAAAAAAGTCTTTAATTTGTTTACTAATGAAAGAAACAACCTTTGGCATTTCCAGTGATTGTTAGTTAAATTAAAACCACCTACCTTTATTTTATCCCACCTTTTACTGAAAGACAAATATTTAACCTTTGCGTACCACTTACAAGTGCTGTGCTTGTACTTGGCGTTAATATACCAAGTCTGTTTGCATGGGAAAGCTAAATATGCTTGATCTCAATCCAACTCTGAGCAGTGTGTTTCGTGATAAGGGAAGGATCATGCCCATAGCTGTGCTGCTGTGTGCCGTGCAGCTGAGCCATTTTGTTTTAACTAATTCTGATGACTCAAACTCTAACGAAATGAGACGCACATTGAAAGATGGAGCTTAAACCTCCCACAGAGTTCCAGTAGTCATGGTTTATATTAAATATATATTGGATGGAAAGGCTATTTATACCATCCAGGGTGGGCTTTCCTGGCCCTAACTGCTGCTGTTTTAGGGCCTGCTCAACTCTCAAACACTTAAACACATTTAGATCTGGAAGCTGCCCAGTACAAAATCTGTCTGATCTACTGGTCTACTGGAGCTTAAGTGTCTTGCTCAAGGGCCTTTCAGTGATGATAATGAGCAAGGGGCAAGTGTTACTGTTACTTATCTTCAGGGTTTAATCTGTTGGTTCAGGGACTGAACTTCCCAGTCTGACTCCTAGTTTTCTTGCTTGGAACCTCTGCACAAGTGTGAAAATGTTGCGTTAATATGTTACATATATGCACTGTAGTGATTTATGATGGTAGATTACAGCAGATCTTTGTAGTTATCAGCTACACTTCGACATGGCTCTTAGTAGTGTCAGCCTGGTGGGTAGTATACTACTTTGGTGCTGGCAGAAACATCTTGTAGCTCACAAAGAGTGAGAAAACAGGAGATAGAAAGGTTAGGATGCCAATTATCAGTTCATTTCTTAAAAATTAAAAAATACATGAAAGGTGGATCCTTGAAAGGAGACAGATAAAAAAAAGTTAGGCCAGGCTTTTTTGAGCTGTTGTGGAGGCCTACACAAGCATACCCATAATATGTCAGCAACTCTTCCTGCCTACAGACTGCTGTGGAAAGAAACCCTGCAGCGAGAGCAGAAAGAAGAGGAGGCGTAACAGTTCCAACAACTATTTGATAGATTACTCTGAGGCTTGGTACAAATGTTTATCCTCCTTAATGGAAGAATTTTAATGACTTTGTGGATCCTTTGACTTTTCATTTATCAGTAAGATAAAGTTTTCACTTACCCAGTTAAAGTCTCCAAAATACACAAAATATTGTGCAGATATTCATCATTCCAGATGATGCATTATAATTACTTAGCTTTACTTCTAGTGCCACTTGAGGATTCACATTGGTGGCTTTGCATTTTTATTAAACAAAAATTAATTGTAACGACTTAGAAGACTTATTTATCTTCTGTAACTTTTTGGTTTAAGACTAAATACCTGCAAAACCGTCATACGTGATACCAATCACCCTGAGCACATGTTAGCCTGCTAGCGAATGTCGGCGAATGTCATAGCTGCTAGCATGACAGCATACTAATGCAGCTATTAGCATGGCTGGAAACTCTTAGTCTTGTTTTTTTATGCTTAATTCCCCATTAAGAAATGTTCCTTTATTTAGATAGCGAGGCATTGTGGATCATTATTGTTGCAAGTTATTTCAGGATATGCATATTTAGATCTAGTCAGAGAAAAGGAACAAGCACCTTGCAAGGTCAATTTGCTTGGATGTCTGATATGACCTGTTTTTTATTCAGAAGATTAAGTTTCCTACCCCTGAGACTGTGTGTATTTGGTATTTAGTGCAGCCTCCACAAGGAGATATTTTTCTCAAATCTTAGTTTTGTTAAAAGGCATTGTCTGGTGTTTGATGGCATTCTTTAAAATAAAAATGGTTTATTTATCTGATTTTATTGGAGCGAGTAGTAAGGGCTTAGCTAGCTGTAAAACAGGGCTAATGTCTGTCATAAAACAAGTCTGTGTCCCCTATGTTCGTCCTCAGTGTGGAGGAGATACAATTCTTGTACACATAACCATGAAAAGTAATTTGATTGGTCTGGCTTGATCAAATGTGAGGGACAAAAAGGAAAAACTGCCCATAAACCTCAGATGTAAGTGGATATCTTTAACAGCGCTAAAATATCTACTGTAATGCATAATACAGTGGAGAGTGGAGACAGTGAGGCTTGTGATTGCTGTTTCATTGAACAGCCCACTCATTTTTAAATGTGTGATGGATGAAAGCATTCCTCAGTAATTTTCTCAATAACTGACAATGTTTGTGTAATTGTTCAATTCCCCATCTATGTATATATTCACAAGATGTTCATCACTGGTAACATCAGTCTGCATAACAGCAGCACAAGTTATTTTACATAATATATTTTGGGATGTATAAAGTGGTCCTGGCCCCTGAATAATATAAGCTTATCCTTTCCGCTGTCAGCCTCAATTTGAATAATTTATATGTAGCAATAAATAGAAGCAGAATCTCTGGCACCATCCTGGAGAATTGGCACTTGAGAAATAGGAAATTCCTTCTTTTTCCCCATATCACCATGACTTTAATGAAATCAGCAGCAGAAGTCTGCTCTTGTTATGCTTGTCTTCTCGTTCTGCTTTCTGAATCAAGGTCTTGCCCAATCACTCATCGCTCTGTCGGCAGGCTGCTTTCAGCTGCACTTGTCACTCTGTGATTTCTGGAACAGATAAGAGCTCTGATTGAACATTTGTTTGGCCTCTGGAAACACCACAGGAGAATGGCTAGTAGTAGTTCATTTTGTTTCTGTGTGTGGTTAAACATCTCTCCTGGTCAGGCACAGCTGGCGCACGTATGGAAGCAACATCAGACAAGAAATAGCGTTAGTGCCTTGATCAAGTAAAGTCTTTGCAAATCAGAATTTTATGAAATATGTTAAAATGGATCTCTTATGATTTTACTGTCATGTATACTGCTACAGCAGCAAATGCCTTTAGTACCCATGACCAGAGTTTCACATAATAAAGTCAACCTATGTACAAATAATCGTTGGGAGCCAAAGATTCAGGCTCATCTACACACTTTGTTTTAGTTTTTGTCTACTCTTAGCTCTTCATGATGTAATAAAGTTTGCATATCCCTTATACAGTAATATAAGGCAAACAAATGCTGTGAGCAATAAACGGCCCTGTTAGCCACAGGTCAAATACTTCATTTGTGAGGGGCAGCCAATTAAAAGATACAGTGGATGAACTGGCTGACTGCAAGATAAATAAAGAGAACGTCTAAAAAAATTGAGTTGGAAATAGCACAAAAGCAAAAAAATAAAAATAAAATAAAAATTCCATACTATTCACCTAATGGTTGTTAAGTTATATAATTGTTGGTGAGCTCGTCATGAACAAAGTTGAAATGAAATCACAGAGCCTTACCCAAGGTTCTCTGGGAACCCAAAGATCTCCTTTCTCAGCTTATATTAGAGGAAGCCTATCCCAGCTACCATAGAGCGAGGGGCGTATACCCTGGACAGGTCGCCAATCTGACACGGGGCCCTCTCCAGACATTTGAAAAGAAAAGTCAGATTTAAAATATTCACTTTGGCATATGTTACACAAACACAGAAACACACACACAGACAAACATGCACACAGATCAGCTTCTCATTTCCCCAGTTGAAACATCTTAAGTCTATATACATGCAAATATTGTTCATTTCAGAGGTTTAACTTCTGGACACCAGACACTCTCTACTCACTGTGTGCACTCAGGAGATTTCAAGTTTCGCATTTGATTTGTCAGCATTGCATAGTATATCAAAACTGGCTTCTAAGCGACTGTCACAAAACTATTTTGTAAATATAATTTTCTCCTTCTGGTTGGATTCAGCAGATGGATTTTAAAGCAGCCTCTGCACATACTACTACATATATATTTAACTGGAGGCATGAGAGAGAGAGAGTTTGGAGCTAAATTGATCTCAGTGATACTTCAGCAGAAGTAATAACATTTTTTTTGCTTTTTTTGTAGGTATATTTCCTCAAAATAATCAGTAGCATTGGGACTTACCAAGTATTAGAAATGTAAAAACCAAGATCCAACTGGTCCAACTTAATGCTACATAGAAGTTTATAAGTTCAAGTTCTGTGAATGAATCTTTTGTTTCTGTCATGACCTGTATTTAATTTGGTGATTTACATTTTTGGGGCTCAGTGGCTAACAAACACATTTTTATATGTCACAAAAGGGAGTAAATATCAAAACCATGAATCGAATACATCAGCTATCCCTCTCCTATACCTTTTGTATCATTTACACCAGTGGTCCCCAACCAGGCCGCAAGAGTTGAGGTCCAGGTGTGAAATTTATGGTTTTCAGGGTTTTTATTGTTTTTTTATCGTCATTTTTTAATCGTTTTTATCGTTAACTCAATTTCCCTGGGTCTTTTCCAGTGTGTTATGAATTAATCTTCCTTTTTTGGTACTGGTTTTATTTTGTTGTATTTATCCGCGACACCATATTGTCGGACATAAACCGGTCCGTAGCACAAAAATGGTTGGGAACCGCTGATTTAGACGACTTTCATAAGACAGCTCCATCCATATATCCATTTTATCTTTTAAGTCAAACAAAGTATTTCACTGTTTTAGCCTTTCTGATTGTTTTCTGGTAAATTAATGCTTTATTATAACTTGTGTGTTTTTGCATTTATTCATGTAGTTTTTTCTTTCAAACATCAAAAAATTTCAAAATCAGCCAAATGACTCCACCCTTTAATGTCAAACTGTTAATACCCACCTGTGAATGTTGGCAGTGTAGTGACACACAGGTGGAATATATTATGCTGGTTGAGAACAAGTCATGAATGGTCTGGTCTCCCTACTAATAAACCCCTCCCCTTTTTTTTCACGGACAGTACGTGCAGCCTAAATGAAGTGGAACTTGTTCAGGCATCAGACAACGCCCATGGTCGCTGCTAAGCCAACGGGAGCCAGTGCCTTGACTGTGACTCCAGCGCCGGTCGCGTTAGTCTCGGCAGACAACTCCACCGAACCAGTGAGCAAGAATGATGCCTTTGACGAGATCAAAAACAAGTTCCTGAATGAAATCGACAAGATCCCACGTGAGTGCCACGCAAGCCCCAATCATCCGATCAGCCATCAGTTCCCATTGATACAACTCTAAGCAATGAATTTGGAATTAGATTTTCTCTTTTTGCTGCAGGCATTTGCAGGCCTTTAATGTCTTTATTCAGTATTGATCACTGGCTGCTCTTCCTAATGGCAGAGAAATCTAATTTTCACTAGATCTAATTGCTAACCTACCACCTTTTACTAAATATATTTGGCTCAGGACGTGACAGGAGGCTTAATGATTGGTCGGTCAAATGTCACAGTATTTACTTGTAGCTTTTCTCTGTGGGTTCATCTGTACACTGGTCTGTATATGCTCCTCAGTGCCATCATGGGCCATCATCGCCATCGCCGTGGTCGCCGCTTTACTCATTCTAACATGCTGCTTCTGCATCGTCAAGAAGTGCTGTTTCAAAAAGAAGAAGAACAAGAAGGGCAAGAAGGGGAAGGGTGACATGGGAATGAAGAACCTGAAAGGTGGAGAGGTATGTTCTGCCTCAGGAGGACGTTTCCTGCCTGATATAATTTATAATTGTACTGAATATAAAGCAAAGCTAACAACAAATGTCTTTAACCTATATATGACTATAATAATAGGCCTATTATATAAAGGCTTAGGGGTGTTGTGTTTGGCATTGTAATAAAATAATAACAAAAAGCATTTTTCCATATTTTACTCAAGTAGCTTTAAAAATAATTTAGCCTGTTTGAATTGTGTTGGATGAAAACAGAGATTCTTTACAATTTTGATGTTTTCTAACCCAGTTTTTCTCCACAGTTGTTAATTACATTCTTTATCCACCATGGTTAATGTTTTTTAATTTATTTTTTTCTCTTTCTTTTTTTTCATTTAATGTATTTGTCATTAATGTTATTGTTGCTCTTTCTCTCACTTATGCTTTGGGACTTGAGTGGAAAATGACAAGACTTTAACATACAGAACAGCCATTGTTTTTCTCCTCGTCCTGAAAGAGTAATTATTTAAATTACTAGTTAGTACAATGCTGTTGTTTTGGGCCTATAATTATTATTTTTTCCACAAACATGATTGATAATTTGATGAGGTGCAGTAACATATCTAAAATTGATGTTATTTTAAAACTCCAATGGACTTGCTGCACAAGATATGATTGTGCTAATGAGGGGGCTTCTCCGTCTGTCATTTTCCTCAGTCCCTACAGTGTAGCTAACTACATTTGCTGTGATTACCCTTCTTTGGTGTCTGCTGTGAGTTCAATCTCTTCCTTTGTCTCTGCTCTCCTCCTTCCTGCTTTGTGTCTTATGTGTGCTCCGTGTATCTTGACTGTGGTGGACTTCTCTGCCTACGGTAGGTCTGATAGCACGCGGCACCCCTCTCTGGCCACTCTGTGTAAGCACAGACCAGGGCAGGGTGGGAGCGGTGGTGGGAGTGGGGTTGGGCTGGGCTGGGCTTGGAGGGGTTGGATTGCAGTGATGATGACAATGAGTGCTATGGCTTCCTTAGTTTTTGCAAGCTTAGGTGCTGTGGGTGCTTGAGGACTCCATGGGAGCGATTAAGCTGCTTCGCAAAACCCACTGAACTGATATGCCGCACTAAATGCTATGTTTTGTATATCCAGAGATTGCAATTTTGGCATAAAAAAACAACAAAAAACAGAACAGACATCTGTTTAAGTTGTCTATGGTTTGAAATGAACATGAAACTCATCCTATGGTTGAGCCTTTGAATGATGAGTGCACTGAGCAGCTCACTAGAGATCACTAACATGCATGTGCAAGGGGTAAGCTGGATATTTGTCAAATATTAGCTGAAACTTTACCTCACTGAGAGCTTGGAGCATGTTTCCACTATTAGAGGCCTCTATTGTGTATCACGACCAAAAATACTGATGTCTTACAAATAATTCCTCTTCAAAGATTTGCTAACTTAGCTATAAAATAAATATGGTGTACCCCAGGTTGTGCAAACATGCTCCGAGTTCCACAGCAGATAAAGATGTTTGTACCCCTTGACAAAGACCAGCATATGCCCTTGCAGTAGGTACCATTGAATGGCCACAACTTGACTTGAGAGTAACTTTCCTGGATGACCCATGCTGCTGACATACTAGGTGACAGTCATTGATCCCCTCTCTCTCCCCGAAGCACTTGGGTGCCATTGAAGAGAAATGGTGGGCCAGAATGTTTGCCCACATCTTCAGTCAAATGCAAAAGCCTGATTTTAGTCGATCCAAACCTAATGCCGCACGAGTCAACCGGCTGCTTTAGTACACATTCTGCTTAATAAAAACTCAGTACTGAGCTTACATTTCAACCCATGGAGTTGAAAGGGCATTCATTCAGACGTACCATTTCTTTATCTTTGAACCCCCTCTGAAAGTTCGAGAGGAACTGCTAATTCTCAGCATGATCCCTCAGTGGATGTGTACATTTCACTCGAGACATTAATATAGATTTTTGGGGGCCTCGACGTTTAAATGAAACATCAACGCATAACCTTTACCACACTTAAGACATCACAAGATAAACCATTTACATTTACCATCAGAAATAATCTTGGATCCTGCATTGTGTGGCCTGGCATGCTTGAATGAAAAGCATTTACAACAATAAAGATACAGAATGCCACGTAGGACACTGTGTGAGAATGTGAGTGTATTTGGTTGTGCGTGTGTGTGTGTGTGTGTGGGAGATGGGTGAGTGGGGGTGTGAAGCATGCATGTAAGTCTGCATGTTCAACAGCATTTTCGGGCTGTTCTAGGTAAAATAAAAAAAACCTCTAGAGCCAGGGTATGGAGGGTAATATTGTGAGGGAAAAATACTCTAAGTACGAGATTATGCCCATAAATGTACAAAAAGATTTCTTTTTTGGGTTAAAAACCCTCCACTTAGCTTCAGTTTGCAAGGTTGGGTCAATGCTCCTGCTCCTTCCGTACGTGCTGGCTGCAGTAGAGAAAATTAAATGAATCTTAGCGTCCGGATTAGAAACGTTTTAGATTAGAAATTTTGTCTCATAATCACAATAATATGATGTCTACACATATGTGGCGTGGTGAGGTCGCTCCAGCCTTGGAGAGCAGGGCGATGTGGTTCCCTGACAGGAACATTTTTTCCTGTTTAACATAAAAATTGAATCGACTTTACGACTTATAGTGCTGTGCAAAAGTCTTGAGCCACCTTTTTTTGAAAGTTGGGAAATAGGTGCATTGAGCTGTTTTCAAACATCCATGATTCAGAAATTTCACAGTTTGATTCTTAAGAACTTGACTTTCAGATACGGTTGATCTGCGCTAGACTGTTTTTTAGGCCTGCCACGTCTTCTTTTGTTCTCCACTTGTCCAGTTTCGTCACATTTCTAAAGGTCATACCACATACCATCCATCCATCCATTCTCTTCCACTTATCCTTGTCAGGGTCGCGGGGGGGCTTTAGCCTATCCCAGCTGTCTTAGGGCGAGAGGGAGGGTACACGCTGGACAGGTTGTCAGTCTGCCACAGGCATAATGCTACATACCATCCTGATATATTCCAAGTTTTTGGATAATAGCTTTTTGGGTATAACCTGTTGGTGCAAAATGCTATTTTATGCCTATGAAACTGTTATGTTTTTTGTAGACTCAACTTAAGAAATAGATGTTGCAACTTCCTCCTTGTAACAAAGTCCCTAAAGATACAAGATAAAATTGGTTCTTTGTTAAGTTGTCTGTTATGTGTAGACACAACACTGGTTCATTCCTTGTGTTAAGTGTATTTCTTATGCTTAAATGATTCATACTTCAGTGTTAAATAGCTTAATAAACAAAAAAGAAAACAGTCCTCTGAAAATGATCAGGTGTAAAGACTGGACTGGCAGCAAATATCCAAAGAAAAACTTTGCAAGGCTCTCAGAATGCCTGGAAAATTATTGCTCAAGACCACTTTAAAGATTACAAGAAACACTGACTCCTTGGAAGTAAAATATAAAGAAATGAGGGATGGCTCAAGTGTTTTGCACAGTTCTACAAATCACAGAATTTTCTCCCAATTCTCAAGTTATCATGTACCCCTTAGAATGGTCCTAACATGCCGTTGTATGCATCTAAGGGCGTGCGTGCGTGTGGGTGTGGTGGGGTTCAGTATGATGTGCAGCGAGTGTGCGCGGTAGTGCATTATCTGTGTGGATGCCCTGTTCCTTTTCCAGATCAGTAAGTAGCTGGATCTCACGAAGACGTCAGTGTTTTTTCAGGAGGGGAGCCGTAGAAAAGGAGGCCACGCTGAGAGATTACCCAGTATCTTATAGCAAAATGAAAGTTTACTTTAAGATTCATATCTTAGCAAATTGCTCTTGCTAGATTAGTCGTGACCGCCTCTAAAGATATGGGACCCTGAAGAGTCACTGGGTGTAATGTAAAAGCAAGATGCACGATAACAGAAGATTTGAATTATCTTCTTCATCATGCCCTGATTATCTCAGGAGCAGTTAAATGTCAGTAAGCTGCTGAATGTTGTTCTGGCGTGTGATTAAGTGGGACAATAATTTGCATCAGCTAGAAAATCTGGACTCTGGAATAAATTATGAAATCTTTCAATCATTCACTTAGTTGCAGCAGTCAGCCCAGAGTACAGTAATTGAAGCAAAGTCATAACAACAATGCCAATGTAAACACATTAATGGGATTTAAGGTTGTCAGGAGGAGATAAATGCCAGACATTAATATAGTCTGGCTTACAGTAAACTGATTGCCAGACTGCCAATATCACCGTGGTTTGAGCAAGTTTGAGAGCTTTTCGAGAAGTGTCAGTAAATACTGCGTCAGTGCTTTGATCAAATCACATCTACGCCTGATAGCGCTGTCCTTCACATTCACTCAGTGAGGACACTCGGCCTCTGTTGGAAACACTGTACACGGAGCGGACTAAATAGCAAGGACACCTAGCACTGCGATGCAATAATGCAGCAGCTCTGTAATAAATGTTAACTTGTTTTTGAAAAGCATCCCATGATATCCTTTAACGTGCTTGCTTTTGACATTGGCTCTTCGTTGCTGATACAGCGTTACTCTGTGTGGGATACGCCATCACAATTTTTCAGACTTTTTAAACAACTTAATATGACTCATTTGGAATGAGTCATGTTTGGGATTTGTGCAGCTACCTGTGTGATGCTGTTCCTTCAAAGTAAAAGTCCTCTTCCCCGCTCTGTTTCTGTTTTTTTGTCCACTCCTTGTAATATCACTATTACTGGTAGCTACACAAGTGAGTCATATTAATTTGAGATTTTACAGTGACTTTAAGAAGTGAAATTGAGACCTTCCAAGGGTTTAGCAGAGCTGTTGTACTAGATTGCATTGCAATGTAAGTTGTTCCTGTTTTTTTCATTCACTCCTTTTCTATTTGCTTTTATTCTGTTGTTTCTCTCCTTAATCTTAATCTCTCTCTGCCCCTCTTTCTCAGTCTTTTACGTAACACACACTTCTATTGAAACAACACTTGTACAACAGTTTGTAGTTCCCTGCCTTTGATTTACGCAGATTTAAAAGGCTCGTAGCGCTCATGAAAAAAAAAGAAAGAAAAACAGCATATGGTGTCACCCAAGAAATAGTGAAATCAAGTCAGGTTGCAACCGTGGTCATCGATGAGCAGATTGCACTAGTAACACGGGGGTAAGTGGCAGGTAGGTGCTGTGACTAACCCGACTGCTGATACCCAAGGTTTGGTGTTCAGCACAGATGGCTCCGCTGAACCGTCATCTCACTCCTTTTTCTGCCGCCCGTCCCCCCTTCTGTCATTGCAGAAACCACAGGATGACGATGATGAAGAAGATGATGTGGAACCTGGACTGACTGGGGATGAAAAAGAAGAGGAAGTGAAGGAGAAGGAAAAGTTAGGGAAGCTGCAGTACTCAATTGATTATGACTTCCAAGAGAACAAGGCAAGTGCTTGAGTAGTTTATTTGACATTTTCTTGTCAAAATGAACTCAAAGCAGACCCTGTGAGTAGTTACTAATGTGTGAAGCATCACATGCTAAATGTTCTTTTTAGCATATCTTCTGGTGTAGTAGTTCTTAGTTGATTTGCCAAAATAAAAATGAAACCAAAATTGGGTTTTTAGTTTTAGTTCAACCTTTCCTGCCTTAACTGCAAAACTTCTTATTCCCTAGTTGACTGTGGGAATCCTGCAAGCCGCTGATCTCCTCTCCATGGACAGCGGTGGCACCTCAGATCCCTACGTGAAAGTCTTTGTCCTCCCAGACAAGAAGAAAAAGTTTGACACAAAGGTTCACAAGAAAACACTGAATCCTGTATTCAATGAGACCTTTACCTTTAAGGTAAGTTACTAGCAAAAGCTAAATTGCCTTTATTAATTACTTATTTAATTACTTAGTAATTACTTATTAATTACTTAGTAAAACAACATGAATGTCAAGTCATTTGATGTGTGGACAGGTCCTGATAAGAGTCAGTTTCTCCTCTAATTTCCCTCTTCTGTCCTCTAGAGCTGAGCAGGTACTATGTTTCTTATTTCTTTTCAACAGTGATGAAAAGCACCAGACACACTGAAGGTGTCTGACAAGGAGAATATGGTAGAGAATCAAATTAAAGGAGAGGGCCACCTCTGGTGCACTTTGCGTGCTGACACAGCTCTGTGAAAACAACTCAGCTTTACTTTGTCAAAGTCAGGGACAGGCAGCTGTGTTGAAGCAGCATGTTATGAAGCTAGACAATTCTGAGCTCCAGGCCAGGGGCAACAGCCAATACTGGTCTGATCTAGATTTATCTGATCTTTTATATATCAAGTATCTTTTGTCATAAACCGTTAGAAATGTGTGATCATTGCTACCGGTTGAATTAAACTTAAATTAGTAAAGTAGGTAAATGGGTTGTTATCTTTCAGATACCATTCCAAGAGATGGGAGGGAAGACTCTGGTAATGTCCGTTTATGACTTTGATCGCTTCTCTAAGCATGACGTCATTGGAGAGATTAAAATACCCATGAACACCCTTGACTTGGCAAAGCCAATTGAGGAGTGGAGAGACCTGGACAGTGCAGATCAAGAAGAGGTAAGAAGAGTGTTACTACCTCTATCACACTGCTGATATCACTCTTTAAAAACCTGCTGTATGTCCACACAGGTGCCTCTTTAAAAGGCTATTCTAAGAAAGCTCTTTAACAAAAGTCCACTTTAAGCATAAATTAAAACAAAATACTTTTTTCCCTCTGGGATTCTTGTGCAGCTCATCCAACAGTTTGGTCTTTCCCTTTTTGTTCTCCTTCAACCAGTATAGCATAGCTACAATTTCATTTCTGTATTTCTTCCTATGTCTCAGCAGTAATGCATGCTGTGATGCTACAGAGCTTCTTTTCCACTGGAATTATTTCTTGCTGATATTTTATTAACTTTGGATACATCAGCTATATAGATAGTATTAAAAATAAAGTAATGGCAGCAGGAATTATTGTTAATGAATATGCTTACTTAAAATGTTATATAAATGACACAGTTTCTGTATTTGTTCAAAGAAAAGGTTCTGCTTCAGATCTGCTTTAACTTTCTCTCCTCCTGCCTCATCCTCACAGCCGGAGAAGCTGGGTGACATTTGCATCTCCCTGCGTTATGTCCCCACTGCCGGCAAACTCACCATCTGTATTCTGGAGGCCAAGAACCTCAAGAAAATGGATGTGGGTGGATTGTCAGGTGGGCTCCTCTATATATATATTTATTTATTTATATATATATATATATATATATGTACTGTACTAAGCTTAAATATTTTATTCCTTATTAATTTCTTTGGAGCAAAGAGACATTTAGGTGTAGCAAACTGCATTGTGCGGAGGAGAGAGCATGTGAGCACAGCCATTAGGTCGGTTCTGCTCTGCTCACGTGCTGACGCTGCAGTACTCACCATGTAGCAACCCTCACGTCTTCTGGGTTCAGCGTTGGCCCCATCTGTTGGTGCATTAAAGCAGTGCGACTAAAGCGTGCATGTGCGAGGGATTTCTGTCAGCCTCTATCGTGATTTTCCTCTGTTTTTGTTTTCAGATCCATACGTGAAAATCAACCTTTTGCAGAATGGAAAGAGGCTGAAGAAGAAGAAGACGACAGTGAAAAAGAACACTTTGAATCCTTATTACAATGAGTCATTCAGCTTTGAGATCCCTCTTGAGCAAATGCAGGTAAGGATGCGGAATAGTCCTGTCAAAATCTTTAACGTTTAGTAGGTGCAGAAAGAGTAACATTGCCAGGGGCGTAATTTCCAGGGGGGTTAGGGGGGTTATGACCCCCCCCCCCCCCCCCCCCAATAAAATTATGAATTATCTTGCATAAAAAGGCTGTTGATTTTATTTACTTATTTCAGGTATTACCAGCAAAATAGTTGCATGTTTAATCATCTGGGAATTTACCCCCCACCCCCCCACCCCCTCAATGTTCAGCACAAAGTTACGCCAATGAACACTGCATCCTGTCGACACATGCTGTTTAACGAGCGTTATATAAATGTTGTCTATCAAGTAATCTGTGATCAAGCATACCACGAACGACTGTGTGGCAGTTATATTTATATGAAATTGTCACTATCCCAAATTGTCTTTTATTTTATGAGAACATGATGTGGTATTTTCCAGTTAAGCGAGTATGTAAATCCACCTGTGTACACAGGCTTTCTAATTTTCAGGTCTTTCATGAAATTTATGATGGTACTTGTAGTTTTCAGCTCATGGTAATGATCACAAAAATTTAAAAGTCATTGTAGCATTTTATTGAAATAAGGTGTAAATCAATGTGTAGTGCCATCTCTTGCAAATATAAAGAGAATTTCATGAGTAATAAAAATGCACTCTGGCTTTAAATGTACTCTTGAGTTTTCCTGCAGCAGCCTTATTTGGGTCTGGTATGACTGGTAGCTTATGGTGGCATTTATTAGAAAACTTCATGATCCATTTCTGCTTTTTCATTGTTGCAGTGCTCTTGCTTTTATAGACTGGAAGATTAACGCCATGCTTCTATCTGTCTGGTAAACTTGAGACTACCACTTGCAGCCAGTTAGCATAGCCTAATGTAGAGTCTTTAAGTTAAGTTGCTGCCATCGCTGCTGTTGTAGTGAAGTAGAGTACACAAGAAGTGGGATCAGTGCGATGATTAGTGAGCTTTAGAGGTACTGGAGATCTTATATTTCGTGTAAGAGTGATTTCAATATTCTCATCTAACTTTATTCAAACAATGAAAACCACCACACTAACACCCATTTATTATCACTTGTGACCAAAGTGACCACTGACCATGCAAACATATTTTTATCATGTGAAAAAGAAAGTTATCATGTGACTCTATGATGAAAATGTTCTTTTCATGACTGTCACATGTTACTGTGTGTTATAAAATAGAAGTTATATGTACTTTAGCACCAAAAACATTGTATATGATGACTGTCTTTGGTATGTAGGACACTATACACTGAGCATTGCTCATACTTTGCAGAAAGCATAAATACCCCCCGGGCTTCTGACACCAGTAACCAATTAAAACATCTTTCAGTAACGTCAGATTTCTACAGTCCACTTCAGATTTTGTAATCCTTTCTTCCTGCTCTCCCAGAAAATCCAAGCTGTGATCACAGTGCTGGATTACGACAAAATTGGCAAGAATGATGCCATTGGGAAGATCTTGGTAGGAAGCAAGTCCACAGGGGCTGGGCTGAAACACTGGTCCGACATGCTGGCCAACCCCCGTCGCCCCATTGCCCAGTGGCATCCACTGCAGCCAGAGGAAGAGGTGGATGCCGCCCTCGCAGCCCTGAATGCCAAGAAGTAAACCCACCTACACCATCTCTACACCTACCCACCCATGCATTTCCCATCATTTCCCAGTGTATATTCCAGACAAACACCCCAACTGCACATCTGCTCCCCTCTCCACATTTTTTCCCTTCTCTTCCTTCCTTCCCCACTGCCACCCTTCAAAAGATCCACTGATACCATTTGACATGAAGGGAGTAGTTTAAAAAAAGCATCATGTTATATAAAATCATGCCACTAAAAAAAGAAGATAAGTTACAGGATGGACAGATGCTCCGTTGATTTCCTTTAGATCTATTTTTGTATTGGGGTTGTGGTTCCATTATATTATAAGAATACATAGTAGAATATGAAGAAGGGTAAGAGTGCTATATGGGAATCTGGTCATAGAGGGGATAAAACATACAACATTCACTCATATTGTACTTCTTATCTTTTCCCTTTAGTGACACATGTTGCTTAGAATAGAGCTTAATAATAAAATGCTTTATACTGCCATATGATAGAGAAATAACACAAGCAGGTTCATTCCTTAGGTGTATTGTGCACCATGTTCCACACCTGCCAGTTATCATACTAGATGATTCTGTTAGTTTAAAGTACATTCCTAGAGGTGGGTAGCAAAGTAGGGATAGACACATATCCAGTTACCCACAAACACACTGCCTTTTTGATTAGTTACCCTTCCGCCCATCGTCTCAGGAAAACTGAGAGGAAAGTGAAACTCCATGCCTTTTTTTCTAAACGGGTTATTATTATTCTGATACTCAAGTAGACGAGAAAAATATTCAATTCAAGATCTTTTTGAGTGACCCAAGGCTCACGAGTAGTGTTAGTTTATCCTTAAAGTGGTGTGTCAGGGGAGAGGGAGGGAATAATGGATTTGGAGTAAAAAAGGGTATTTGTGTATATTTTTTTTCCCACCGTGCAAAAAGGCTGCATCTGTCATCGGAACAACAAGCGTGGAAATATCAGAGCAGGTACAACAAAGACTGATTCCAAGCACCAATGACATGATATTTACAAGGTGTCGATTACCGCCTGCAGTCTACCACCTCCCCTCCCAACGCCTCTGATTCTGTATCTCACTTGTTCAGTGCTACTGCCATTAGTCATGGACTTGACACAAGGGTTTTACTTCAAAGGAATCCCTATAACCGTCTTACAGTCATAAAGGAGACAAGCCTTCCAAGTAACAAAATAAGCAATTTTCAACTACCAGGGACGCCTTCCAGTTAGCAGTGTTGTTCTCTTCATTTCTTTCTTTCCCCTGTTTTTTAATCTCTTTTTCCTTTTATCTCAGTTCCTTTTTTTCTATTTGACTTCAAACATTTTTGTTCCTTAAGCACTTTAAAATCAAAATCTTACATTTAAGTACACTTAGAAACCAGAGCTTTAATCATTTATGTTAGTAGTTACTGCTAGCTGTAATAAAGAAAAACAAACAGACAGCAAGACAGTGATTGACTTTTTTTGTTGTTGTTGTTTTTGTTGCTTTTTTTTTTTTGCCTCGGCTTTTTGCGTATGCGTTTTAATTGTTTGGATATTATATTTCTCACTTGATTGCGAGGGTGTGGTCTGGAAGAAGGCACTGATCCATGTGTATTTTATACACAGCTTACCAAACTGTTGAATATAATTGCACTATCGGGTATTTTTCTGTTCTGTGGTAAAACTGTTCTTTGAGCTGTGTAGTTTTTCTGTGATAAAATGTTGTGAGATTGAATTTTTTCTGTGGCACCATGTGGCATGCCAAACGGGTCTCCTCATATAAATGAACCTGATAATAACAGAGAGATCCTTCAGTTTAATGCATTTCTTAACAGAATGTTTTAGGTCCAGTATAGAGAGCCAAAGTGTCGTGTAAAAAAAAAAAATTAAAGTAAAAAGTCCTGCTGAAAATTAAAAATGCAGATATTTTAAATCCTTTTAGCTTATTTTGTCCAAATCTATAAACTGAACCAGGGCACATCTTAGAAATACTTTTTTTTAAGTTTCTGTGGTCTAAAAACTTCTACAGTCCTGGTCTCCTGCAGCTTGAATCATACATGAGATACCCACAGTCCTCAGCTTGGCAAGCCCAACACAGATGTCTAAGAATGATATGATATTGTGCATATTTTGGCTGTACAAGTTTGGCTCTCTATATTTGTATATTAACATTCCGTTCAAGAGAAATATTGGGAATGAACAAAGCCCAAACTCATCAGGTCTGAATAAAGCAGAAAAGGCTCCTGATATGTGTAGAGTGTTTGGACCCCAATACACTTCCTTGCTGAGCTAGCTATGAATAAAAATTTTTTAAAAACATACAAAAAAAAGCAAATCCTGCTGTCTGAAAGCACCAACGGCAAAAGCTACCCATTAACTGTGTGCAATATAAGTCAATGTAAAGTAAATGCGGTCAGCTTTTTAGACATTACCACAGCTTTTTGGGAATTTAATGAATGTTGGAAATCATAGGTTTTTCTTTCAAACTTTGACAGGAGTTGAGTTTTTCACGTCCCATCATTCTTTTCTTCAGTTAACGAAAACAACACTAAAGAAAAGGCAACACGGAAGCAATCAAGCAACCCATTGGTGTGTAGTTTTGCCTATATACATAGTTCATACACGTTGATACTGCATGTTTATACAAAATACTGTACATAAGAGCATGTTTTAGAGACGAAGCAAAAATATCTCGTGTACGTAAATGGGTGTCATTTGTCATTTTAATAACACGACGAAGGGAAAAAAGATGCACTGTATATTTTCTAATATGAAACAAATGTGTATTTATTTTCCATGAGGGTCACTGGAGAGAATGTCATACAGATATTAGAATAATATTACTAATAAGATCCTTTCCACGCCTGAAATTCTTAAGCAAGTGTGTCGTCCAGTACTGTGTGTGAGTTCATGTAGGATGAAAATGTAGCCGCATGCTTGCTATCTAATTCTGTGTGATCAGAATTTTTATTTTTATTTTTATCTGCCATCTGTTTTGTTTCAGCACCTTTCTGAAGGCCAATATTTGACACATTTCTGAATTTTAATTGCTATTGCTTTTTTTTTTTTATTTCAAAAAATGTATTTAGGGTTTTTAATGTTTGGGAAAGGGGATCTCCAAGTCTAAGATATAAGCAGTTTCTAATAGCAGATTTGACGCAGTGTGATTCTGAAATAACTTATTAGAAAAGGCTGAATAAATGTGCAATTTGTAGGTGGATTGTAGGAGTCAGTTTTCTGCCAGCACTGACCAAGAAAGATGTCTGTTGGATCATATCTTTATAGAAAATACATTTCCTGGGGCCAAAAGACAAATAGTTCCATTCCAGTGAACGCGAATGACTTGGAATCCCTTTTTGTCTCTTCTTTACTTGGAAGTTTTTACTTTTCTCTTCTATTTAAATGACCTGAAATACTTCACGGCTGTGTCTCTTTTGCTGTGTTTATTATACAATACGTGTACATGTATACAAGATAAACGAATAAGATAAAACTAAAGCCATAAAACTCAAGCACTAACTCTTTAGAGCTCAGCTGAGTAGCTAGAGTTTATTTATGAAGAAAAAAATCTGACATGTCTTCATTTTCCTTGGCCAGTGTTTCTCTTTTACATTCCTTTCAGAGGTCTTTGTTCATCAAGAGGGCAAAAATCCATTTAATGTATATGTGAGCATTGAGAACAGTTGTGAGTTTAGTAGAGTGAGTGTGTCTTTTTCTACTTTCGGAGCTGTTGATGTCCTTGTTTCATAGAGGTAGCTGATTTTCCAGTATTGTGATTAGTAATGTATATGCCTTGTTTTGATAGTATAAATAATAGATATGACATCACAATAGATTCTCAATAATAACGCTAAGAATTATATATATATATATATGTATATATATATACGAGAGCGTGTTCTATACTTGGGCCGAGTGCAATTTATGAACCAAACTGGGTCACTCTTCTAGTTTCTCTTCTTCCAGTTTAGCAGAGTTTAGAATGTACTGGTGACTACATGTACAATTAATAAGAAGTTACCCTTGTTTTTGTTGTTTTCTTTTTATTTCTTTTCATTTTTTTTATTTGAGCAAACTGCTCAAGCAACAAAAATGAGAGCAAAAACTGAGAAACTTAATAGTGGAACCCAAGTTTTAAACCTGAATCCCTCCCATAGAACTATGCATAGAGTTATGATTTTCACAGGCACATGGCAGAAAAAATCATTTTGATGTCATGCACGTAAAATTAAACGAAAGAAATAGTTTCACATTTTGGGAAATGACTTGCCAGTTTGCAGAGAGTTTGAAAAGACGACTGATTCCACAGTCCACACTAAAATATGAAGCTTGTGTTATTTAGTCATCCTGAAATCAGTTGTTGATGGAACAAAAAAACACTCCCCTAGTTTGTTTTATTCCTTTTTTTTTCTTTTCTGTCTTTGAACATTTTAAACATTGGTATTATGTGTTACTTTGTGAGCTTTAGTGGTGCTAGTAGGCATATTTTCTTACTTCGAGTGAGGCAACCTCTTTTTCCAGTCTTTGTGCTGAGCTTTATACTTAAAAAAGCAAAAAAAAAACCCAATGACACAGGGGTGGTGTCAGCCAATCAATAATAGGCAAGAGCATGAGCAAGTTTTCCAAGTGTGGAACTATTCCTTTAAGTTCACCTCAATCCTGCCAGATCTGTCAAACTGCCACACCTGTTCTGGCAACAATCTGCAGTGTGTTGTGTGACGCTACACATTGTCTAATGCAATATAGTTTTTACTCACTGTCCCGTTAACGCTATAGACTGTGACCAAATGATGCACTGAGAATAATTTAAACACAAAATTTCAGCGCATTTCTAAAAATACTGCCACTACCTAATTACGGTTGCCTTCACTCATCACCACTGTTTGAATCTGCAAAGCCACAATAACAGTACACGCAGAGCAGTGACAAACACTTCAGATGATGAGGCAAAGGTGATTACAGGTAAACCTATAGCACACTTTAGAGATATATTTTTGTTTTTTTTTTAGTACCTTTTACTGCTCGGGTCACTGCAGTCGCATGACCGCTGGACAAGTTCTATGGGGGACTGGGAGTTGTGTGTATTTGGGTATGTGGGAAAAAAAGATGAGGTGTATGCCCTTTAGCAGACACGGTGCAAAACCACAGCATTGGATTATACAATATACAGTACAGGTCTGCATGCATGGGACACATTACTCATTCGTAAATGTGCATCTTTGTGCGTTTGACTGTAATGGTCAAACAACAGTCTTAGTTGTGTTTTGAACCTGGAAATGAATCTGTTCTCTTACTGGTTGTGGAACTGTGTAATATCTTTATGCACATCCGCATCTGAAGCTGTGTGCTCTTTCAGCTGTGCAGACAGCTGAAAGAGCACCGGTCACACAGTTGTGGTTTGTTTATTTTATTCGATTTTTCTGCAAACGCTGGGATTTAAAAAGGGAAACCATCCAAAGTTCAGCAGATCTTTTACCACCTTGTCAAAATGTGTCGAGGAGCCTCTCAGCGGGTAAAAACGCCACTTTGAAACATGATGTCTTGTCTCCTCTATTACTCGCTGTACTTCTCCTTTGTATTCTTGTGCATATGTGTAATCACTTCTTCTGCCATTTAATTTTTTGTGATGTATGCCTTTAATGTAGAATATAGAGATGTGCCACCAAACTCTGTCACATTTGCTTTCTCATTGCGTCTTTGTCTCGTTTACGTGTAACCAACCATGTACCGTCGGTTTCATGATGCTGAATAGGAAGCAAGCTCACTGATTTCTCCACTGAAGCTGCTTTTGCTGAGCGTAAAGAATGCCGGCCTTCATGTTTACAACATGGACATACTGTATACTGCCAAACATGCAGGAGCGTACCAAACTCCCCTCTTGAGCGCTTAGTCCTCCACCCCTCATCCCTGATGCAACTGTATTCTCAAGACTCTTCTTTTCCCTTTTTATTTTCACCTCTTTCTCTTCATCCTCTTTTAAAGCATCAGAGGACAGTCAGGTTGTGTCCTCTAGCCGTGTTTCTTCGTGTCTAGTGTCGTGGTGCGCGTGTTCATGTCAGTACTTGTGCCTACTGTGGATCGCATGCTTTAGCCCTTGACTGGACACAAACGTTGCTCACAAACTCCTCTTGACCCTTATGTGGACAAACGTTGGGGATCCTTATAAAGTTATCAAGGGAACCAAATAACTTATTACAAATTTATCATATGTGTTAACAGTTCTGTAAAAACAAATAGGAAATAAAGGCCTTTTAATTACCATGACTTGTTTGTGTTTAATACCCAGTTCCTCTTCCTCTGTTCGTTGTGTGTTAATGTCACAAAAACAAAACATTTTCATCCTTTTACCATTTATTAAGTAGAGTGAATTAAGTAATGTGTCTGTGTTAAGCCACCACTCAGAACATTTCAGACTGTTGAATATACAATCACTCGGTAAATCAGTATATCTACAGCACATGTAGAGAGAGCAGAATCATACTGTAGCTTATTTATAGTTCAATTAGTGGACGTGAGCAAATATAACACTGGTAATGTGGCATGTGGCATGGCTGGACTCCAAAACCATCACATGGTTTAAGGAATATAGGAAACACTGAGGACCTTGGTTAACTTAACCATTAAGTGAAAAAAAGACTGATACCAAAATCCTTGGTGTGTCTTTCACACCACGTACAGCACAGAAGGAGATTTCATGCAAATTAGTCTGAAATGCAGAGTTTATAAATCACGATGTATTAAACCCTATTTTAAAGCAAACTCACAATCTCTACACTTTGTTGCATTGTGGGTTTAGTTCTTAAATAACCATTAGAAGTAAGAAGTGCCTTCATACTGCAACTAATAAAAACATGACATCACTAATATTGAACTAGTAAATATAGCCTACAAAAACAACCAGATCAAAAACAGAAGCTTGGTAAAGTTCTGGTTTGTTAAAAGGCCTGCAGTACAGGCTTGCTCTGAAGCTAGGTGTGCCTTATAAATTGGCAACAAAGTCTTTGAACAACTGCAGACCTATTAAAATGGTGAGAAATCATTGCAGAATAAAAGAGCTGATAACAGTTTATATTTCACAGCGCTGGCTTTTGCTGATTTTTAAGGCCACCCAATTAATGTGAAGGCTCACAGAGCAATGATAACAAGGAAGTGCACGATTCTGGTGTTTGTATTTTAATCGCCTAATGACAGGAAGGCCAACGGGTCAGCTAAAAAATAATCAGTGTACTCCTCTGAAACAAAACTGACTAGGCAAAATATAAAGATTAAAACTAACACATCCATAAATAAATAAATATATATCTATTAAAAAACAAAATATATACGGCATTTTCATTTGCACTCGGGGTGTCTCTCTCTTCAGGCATTCATTTGTTTTCAAAATGAGATACTAGCTCAATAAAAATATCCTCTTGGAAGAACATGCATTTAAAAAAGCAAGGCAGCTGAAAACACAAAAAAGGAAAGTGTGGCAAATATTAATATCATCTCCTCTGAAAGTGTACCATTTTGAATGTGTCACAGGGCTGCTAATAACAGCAGCACTGTTAACATGTGCATGTACAAAGTAGCCTTTCATGCCTATTGTACAGTCTCCTTTATCAAGCCCACATATACATGTTACATTTTTTTGCATACTAGGTAAATTAAACTCAAATGTATATTAGCTAATTTTTAAAAAGCTGAAAATTGGACTAAAATTTGTGTCTGATCTGTTAGAATGATAGTTTTTCCAAAGGTTTGTCAAGTGCATCACATTCATGCATCCCTGCAACTGTAGAAAAACACCCACAGATTTCCAAGGAAATCCACATCTGCGAGGCACTCAACTGTGGCGAGCAGCAACGGCTGAGTGACAAACCTGAGAATGTTGTCAATTGAAGCAAACACACCCCAAAACATGCATTTTATGATGCTTCACTATCTTTAGCCTATAGTGAAAGCAAGTCAAAGTGTTTTTGTGATAAGTTTTTAACGTCTTTAACGTCTCACATCATAATAAAGGAGAAAGCTACGGTTCCAAACAGTCTAAGTCAATGACTGTCTTCTCTTTCAAATAAAAAACATATTAAAACACGATTATGGAGTGCACAAGTAACAACCAAAGTAAAAGTGTCAAAATGTTATATGGCATATTATTAGGTACAGTAGCCTCACGCAATCTGATGCATTAGTTTGGATTTGAAATGTCAACAGTACACCTGGTCCCTATTTCATACACGTGACAAATATTTCTAAAACAAACAACATCTAATGAAGGAAAAAAAAATTGTTGAAACTTTAATTTTAATAATGGTAAAATTAACTGAAGCTTGCCAACACTTCTCTTTGGATCTTCACAAGTACTAACAGGAATTACTAGGATGTTTCTGAAAATGCAACCAAACTAGCCTGTCACCATACAGTAACTCAGATACGAGTCAAAACCCGGGACCTTGTGGATAATGACACTGCTATTTCAGGGTTGGAGCGTCCACAGACACACAAGAGGAGCATCGGACATCTTTTTTTTTTTTATTTTGACAGTTTGCTGATGACTCGAATGAGAGCACCATTTTCATCCTTTAGTCTCTGGTTGTCTGACTTGAGCTCTGTTAAGACCTAGAAAAAGAGAGGGAGAAAACAATATTAGAAAACCAGGGAAATATACAGCTTTTGCTGTGTCATTTAAATGGTTACTTGACATCTTTGTGACTTAAACCAGGACTATCCACTGCAACTTTAATCACCACTAAAGTTATCTTTCACTGAAGTTTAAAGTCAGGCAATGAGGACATGCTCTACAGTACTTGATCATGCAGTGTGGTGTGACAGTGACAGTATGTCCTGAATGTGAAAAGTGACAGAGAATGAAGTCAGAGAGAAGGAAAGTGAGGGAGGGTCAATTCCCCAAATCTAGGTCATGTCTCTCATGAGAAGCAATGACTAAAAATAACCACCCTCTTTGTCAAAGTATTTCCCCTCTACTGGAGACAAACAATAACCTTCTGCGCTAGCTGGGACACGTTGAGTGAGCAGAGATGTCTTACGTCAACATGTTCCTGCCCAATATGTTGAATATTAATCCATAAAGTGAGAGTGAAAGCCCCACTGTGCTGACAATCCTATGTTGTAAGTTAAAAATTAAATGATAGTTTGATAGTTTTGGAATACGCTAGATGAGATGACCAATAAATTACCAGCAGGCTGTTAATTTAGATAAGCATTAATGAATAAAAGGCAAGCAATTTTCCTGTTAGCACCTTTAAAAGTGTTTGTTCAATCTGTAGAAAAGATGAAATGAAAAAGTTGTGGTATTATTCATTAAACACCTGCTTAGACAGCATGAAAAATATTTCCAAAAATGAAGGAAAGCAGCGTTGTCCAACAACAGGCCTCAAGGGCGGGTGTTGGAGGTTTTAGATGTGTCCTTGATCCAACACAGCTGATTTAAATGGCTAAATTACCTCCTCAACATGTCTTGAAGTTCTCTAGAGGCCTGGTAATGAGCTAATCGTTTGATTCAGGTGTGTTGACCCAGGGTGAGATCTAAAACCTGCAGGACACCGGACCTTGAGGCCCGGAGTTGGACACCATTGAAGTAAAGCATACAAGGTAGCGCTATATGAGGGGTAGGCAACTCCAGGCCTTGAGTGCCAGGGTTCTGCAGGTTTTAGATGTGTCCTTGAGCCAACACAGCTGATTCCAATGGGTAAATTACCTCCTCAACATGTCTTGAAGTTGTCCAGAGACCTGGGAATGAACTAATCATTTGATTCAGGTGTGTTGACACAGGGTGATATCTAAAATCTGCAGGACACCGGCACTCGAGGCCTGGGGTTGCCTACCCCTGCGCTATATCATATACAGTGATATGTGTTTCACTCTCCTTGTGTCATGCACCAATTATACCCTCACAATCTGGCATTTTGTTTAAGCACAAAAATTTCCCATTATTTATTCCTACATATAAGTGCTAGTGTTGACCCCTCCACCACCCCAGCCTCCACATGCAGACCCTTCTATGAATATTTAGTCACTAACCCCAAATTTGAAATAAAAAAAATACAGTATTTGTAGCTAGTGATGAGCTTGCAGGCTAGATGCCAAACTGTAACTACATTGGATAAGAAAATAAATCAGTATTTCCTTGTTATTCCACACTAATTTATAGCAAGTCTACTATGGCTTTGTTTGTTTTTTTCTGTAAGTAAAACAAATAATTTGTCAAGCTCTGCAAATATTAGTCATTTAATCATTAAATCGAAACATTTTGCAATAACTTTAACAAATCTCTGCTAAACATTAATTTTGTTGTCCCTAAAAATCTTTAAACCATTATCAGACTGCAGGGTGTGTTTCTTGGGGTTTGATTTGATTAGCTGGTGAGATATTTCCATTTGTTTCCAACAGAAAATATGCCATACAGACTTTAGAGTAGAATCGATCCTAACTCTCAGAAAACAAAAAAAAGCCATTGGGCTTATTTCCCCAAGATGCCTAATGATACCTTTAATTTCACATCCACTGCTCATTAGCAAAAACATACAAAATTATTGGTACGTCTGCGCCCCTGTCTCATCCAGTGACAAAGCACGTGTTCATTGTCAAGGCTAATGATCTGACACGTTTCATTTCCTTTGGAAGATTCAATAGTGGCTATTACCTTGGAAAACAACTTTGCATTGATTACACAGCACATTGCGCAGGACTTGAATATATTTAATTGTGAAAATAAAAGGTGCTCACAAGGTGCTTCTATTTTTCATGATGCAGAGTCCTAGGTGTTTATGCAAAATGGCAACCCCTATGTAAATAAATAAATGCAGCTTAAAACACAGTGTTCATTTCTAGCATGCCACACAAATCTACCTAAAATTAAACTTCAAATAAGGCTTTGGTACAACTGTTTTGGAGAAAAGGGGGCTTCAGGGTTGGTCTAGACCATAAAGGGGATTAGATTTTTTTTAAAAAAGTGCACAGGAGGATGCATTGCAGTGTGTGTGTGGGGAGGGAGAGGGGTGGGAGGAAAGCGTGAGCATCAAGAGAGTGCAAGACCTGCCTGAGAGGAACACAGCAGAGGTTGAAGGGGCTGTAGAGGCACCAGAAGGAAAGAGAAGTAGAAATTATGTGGCTGAGGAAGGGGAGAAGAGGAAGGGGGAAAAGGTCTCAGAGGATCAGAGGTCCTCTGTCTCCGGCATTGAGGCTGTCTCAGAGAGGCGGGCGAGGACGCGAAGCATGGCTCTATTTTCAGCCAGGAGACACTCGTTCACTCTCCGCAAGGTCTGGACCTGAGCCAGAGCAGGGAAAGCCTGCGTACAGGAGGAGAGAGATACAGAGAGGGGCAGACAGAGAGAGCATGCGGGGAGCAGGCCATGTCGCACAGAGAGATACTCATACAGAGACTGCAGCCATATCCGCTCATACAGGCATGCACCCACACAGCAGCATAGACAGGGGAAATCAAAGAAGCAGAGCTGAGGGATTTATCAGAAATACTTACATAAACAAATATTTACACTACAGAGATATTTTGAGAGAAAATACCATAAGCTGCAACAAAGCGAGGAAAGTTATGAAGCCAGTTCTACTTGGATTTGTGCTCATCAAAGGTGGGCTTTATTGGGAAGAAGTGAGGTGTTGACTTATTATTATATGCATAGAACTGCAAAGAAGATGGAATAAAATTCATAGAAAGCTAAAAAAAAGAGAGAAAATGATGAACGCTGCTATATTTTAGCCTTTGCACAAGAGCCTCTCCAGATAAAAGTCAAAGGAATGGAAATCATTCATTTCCTCCCTCTTCCTGGCCTGACTTTTTTGAGGTAAACCTCAACGTGGTTCGACATAGCTGTCTGTGGTTTGACACCATTGCTGAAGGTAAACCGCAGACCAGACACACACACATATACACGTTATTCAGGGCACTTGTGGCATTTCAGCCACCCAGACAGACAAGTTTGTGGAGGTGAATGTGGCAAAGCATGACATATAAACGAGGACACCCAGCTTCGCCTTGCGCACATTTATGAAAGCTGCCTGGTTTGGGGACTTTTCAGTTCATGCATTAAATATTCTCTTGGATTAAAACAGCGCAGTTTTTGGAAAGGTGCCCTTGGCTGTGGTGAAGAAAAGGACACAGTGAGCCGAGGATGCATAATGACCAGTATCCCTTATTACACTCTTTTAATATTGAGCTGTTTGATATTAAATCAGATCTGACTACACTCTCAGGTTCTAAGGGACCATTTCTACAGAGTTACTATTCATTAGGTTTAGAGGCTGTCAAGAATAATTGAGCTTTTCCATTTGGAATGTAAAACCCAGCAGAGTAATCTGACACTTTGAGTATTACCACATTCCCATTATTTTAAGAGGGAAGATGGACACACAGTGCTGTTGATGTGAAAAATCCATAACTAAGGCTAATTAAGTGCAGAACTACAGGGCGGGTAGCCCAAAAACCCAAAATGCACCCCTATTTGCAAGAAAAGTAACTACAGCAAGCAAAGGCGAAGATGTGCTGTTATGTATCATTTATAGGAACGGAGAGTAACCTGCTCAGGAATTCTGACACTTGTGGTCATTGAGTGTCACAACTGCAGTTTATTGATTTTGTTTATTTTATTGCATTTTTTTTAATAACCGCATAAACATCTTTTATTTATTTATATACCTCTTAAAGGCTACTGTTATTTTCCCTTTCCAGTAGGTGGTGCAATTTGATACTTATGTGGCAGCAATGAAACAGCTCCCCCATGTGGAGAATCTGATACTTGCTAAAAGTGAAGAAGTGACTTTGTGAGAGAGTGCAAGCCGGTTCTCTGAGGTGATGTGCTCCCAAAGCTTTTACGCTCTAAGCTACTGTTGAGAGGATAAAAAGTCCAGATGTGTAAACATGCCCCAATCTCTGGCACAACAGAAACATGTGAGGTGATAGGTACGTATCAGTCACACCTCTGTATCATAGCAACCACTCACCGTCCCCCCTTCCCTGAGACAGCTTGCCCTCAGGGCTGGTACCCACAGCGAAACCGCAGTGGGGCATCCTGCTGAAGGAACCATGACAATACGGGGGTCAAACATCTGCTGCTTATATACCACGCCGCTGTTGTACGTTGGAATTCTGCATATGTTATGCAAACCGAATTCCCGAAAAGTTGGGTTTTATAAGAATAAAATGCAGAGATTTGCAAATCTCATAACCCACATTTTAGTGACAACAGAACACGGAAAGCATGTCAGTGTTTGAACTGAGACAACTTTAATGAAAAAAAAAGCATCCCTTCTCCTTTTAATAATAGTCCATAAACATGAATTGAGGAGACCAGTGTTGGACTTCTGGGAGAGGAACGCTGTTCCATTCTTGTCTGATATATGGCTCTAACTGTTCAACAGTCCAGGGTATTTTTAGCTCCATGATGCACCAAATGTTTTCAGTGCAGGCAGCTCAGTTCAGCCCCTGGATGTTTTTACTACAAAGCCTTGTTGTTGTTGTTGTAACAGGGGAAGTAGGCCGTTTACCATTGTCTTGCTGAAATATGCAAGGGGCTCCCTGATTGTTGCTTTAAAACTTGTATGTACTATTCAGCAGTGATGATGCCTTTCCCTATGTGCAAACTGCCAATTCCATTTCCAGTCATGCCATGCTGTGTTCACAGACAGTAATTGAAGACATTTCTCTAAATTCTCTGAATCTTTTGATGATATTATGTACTTTAGATAGTGAGATATTCATAGTCTTTGTAATTTTAACGTCGAGAAACATTAACCTGAAATCACACATTTTGCAGACACAGGTTGGTAAACCAATGCCATCGTCTGAGAACGTCTGCCGCTCTAAAATGCTCGTTTTTACACAATCATGTTACTGACCTGTCACCTAATTAGTTTGCAAATTGTTCCACCAGCTGTTTCATTTTAATATCACTTAATTTTCCAGCCTTTTGTTGGCTCCATTCAGATTGTCTTGAGATGTGTTCCTGCCATTAAATTCAAAATGAGCTAATATTTTTAATGAAATAGGAAATCTTTTCTTTGTTCAATTGTGAATAAAATACAGGCTCACAAGATTTGCAAATCATTGCAGAGTGTTTTTAATGACATTTTACTTGAACTAGTTTTGTGTAGTTTTTTTCACAGTTTATTTTATGCTGGTTGGTTCTCTCGAGTAATCAAATTATAATCTTATCGTGTAGTTTGTAATTGCTTCCACGTAAATTGCAGACCATTTTTACTCAGGCCTGACATCTCTTTGTAGTTGTGCCCTGTGTTTCTTTGTGAGGCAGAATACACACAGAGCAACACAGGAATGTCTCACAAAAGCAGGTCTTTTGCTCTTGGATAGGGTTTGGTATTCAGCTGGAACTAGGTCACAATGTTCACCCCAACAGTGGGATAAGTGGAGCAGGGGAGCAGCAGCACAGGCTCCTCCTTAGCCTGGCAGGAAGTGGCCCAGCAGAACACTGTGGGTAATGAGCCTGAAGCACTAACCTTCTCTCTCCTTGACTCCAAACCCACCTGGCTAACCACAACTCTGCAGTGAGCGATATGTGTGTTCTGCTCTGTAAAAATACTTTAGGTGTGCTTGATTTAGAATGAGTGAAAGGGGCTTGGCTGGAGGTACCGGCAAGGACTATCAGTATTATAATGTTTTTTGGGGAGAAAACATCAATGAGACAAATTAAGCACAACTTGTGTCTGAGACAAAATAGATGCCATTTAAGTGAGTACACACTGTTTTGCATGGACTGACCTTTAAATCCTCCTCCATGTCTGACACTCTTTTCTCAAGGGTTTGTTTTTCCTGTAAATGAAGAAAAAAAAAACTGAAGTAAGTTTTACTGGAAAAATGAGACTATTATTTGAAGTAGACAAGGAAACTGATTGGAAAGAATGCAAATATATGTAGTATTATCAAGGAGGTTGTTAAGACACTTACCCTTTTTTCTGATTCAAGTGCTGAAGATCTTTCAGATATTGTGTCGTGTCTCTAAAACAGGGGTAAAGTTATTGGGAGAAATTTATTAGAAGAACTGGTTTAAATTTTAATCATGACTTCACTAAAGAAGTAAAAAGTCAAATCTTTCTTCAAGCACACAGGAAGTGAAGGGATGAATGTGAGTTTTCTGTAGAATGGGCCAAAGGTACCTGAGTGATTTTCTCCAGTTGGGAACGTATCTTGGCTAGCTCTTGTTTGCTCTCCTGCAACCTGGACTTGAGTTTTGCATTTTCATGCAAAGCTTCTGCATACATCTAAAATGTTAAGAAAAGGACAAATATAGGAATGGATTTGTTATAGAAATTCTTAGTATTTGAATTTTGATAACCAAAATATTAATGAAGATACAAAGCATAAAAGGAGTAACAACAGACAGTTTAAGTTGAACCACACAACTCAAACAATATGTAAGATCATCGGTTATATTTACATAAACACAGTTTTTTTTCACAATAGCAAAAGCTTTTTCAAAAAAAACCCAAACCTAACACAACGTTACTTCTTTTGTTTCTGACTGTGATGGGACCAAACTGAGTGTGCATTTTTTGTTGATATCTGATTATGTTTAACCTAAAAGGATGATGGTGATGAACGCTTATCACAACTGTAAACTAACTGTAATGCCCTTCCTGATGCAACCCCAAAGGAATTTGTGCCTCCTCCCAGTAAATGTGTAAACCAGTAGACTATGGAGCCACTTTCGACTTGGGCATGGTCTCTGAATTTCAAGGAGGGGGAAGGGGGGTCTCTGTCTCTGTCGGTCTTAAAAATAATAATGTTCGGGTATGTTTATGGTTAGGGTTAGCATCACCTGTCAACATCTATTTAAGTAAATGTAGTAAAAGTACATATAGAACTGTTAGCTTCTTCGAAAACCTTACATGTTCATGTCTCTCCATGTTTCCTGTTTTATTTTGAAAGCTCTGGTGTTTCCATGTTCAGTGTGTTTAGTTTTACTTTTCCATGTGGCGTCATGATCATTTTTGTCAGCTGTGTCTCCTCAGGTGTTTCCACTTCCCTCATTACCCTCCTGTGTATTTAAGTCCTCTGTCTCCCTCTGTTCTTTGTTGGTTCATCTGTCTTCATGTCAGGTCACGTCAAGTCACAGAGTTTTTGCCTCCCTCTGTTCAAGTACGTGTTCATGCTCCTGTTTGGTTTATTTCATAGTTACGTTGTCACATGTTCCTGTTTAGTTTCATGTTCTTGTCTCTCTTCATTGTTTTCACAGTTTAGTTTTGCCCCAGTTTAGGTTTCAGCTTACTTTCGCCTCGCCTTGTTTTTCAGTTTTTTGTATCAGCCGCATAAGGGCTCGCTTTTTGTTTGATCATCAGCTCATTTCTCCTGTGTCTGTTTTTGGGTCCGCTCCACAAATACAACATCAATCCCCGCCATGACAACATGAAGTCAACAGTATTGCCACTCTTACTGTATAGTGGCATTGCAGGTTCATAGTTCCATATACTGGTTTGATGCAATCTCAGTAAGACATACCTTCATTTCTGCAAATACTTGAATAGGGAATATTACAATAGTAAAATACAATTACAGGTCAGAAGTTCCTTTCTGACACTCCCATCCCATGAAAGCCCAGTTACATTACTGGGACAAATAGATACAATGTGCATAAATATAAAGGCAAATTGTATCCAGGACTGCAGCTTTGAATCAGTAACATTAGAATGTGTTTTTGAAACCGAGGAAAGAGTTACTACCTTCTTATAGTCTTTGGCAGTGGAGTCTTGTTCCTGTTTATTCAGTGCAGCCAGCCTTGCCTCTCTGCGTGTGTATGAGCTGGTGCGGCCCAGTGACTTGTCTGTAGCACTCTCTCCAATGGAATCAAATCTAGAGGCAACACAGCTCTTAGCCAGTCTGCAAGGCAGCTTTATTTACAGTGTTTTTTTCCTCTTACCTGTTACAGTTCTGTAATACAGAAGAAAAAAAGCCCAAATCTTACCTTGACACTCTGTCATGCTGAAAAACAAGGAATAAGGCATGTTAGTTTGACTAGCAGCATGGAAACATCACACTGTGAAAATATTCTGTCACGGTTAGATCGAGTCCTGTTCATTTGATATCACCAAACAAAGGCTTGGCTGAGAAATATTTTCCATTTTGAGACAGCAGAGAACAAAAACAAAACTTCCAGTTGAATTATCACAACATGCGGCTCATGCTTGTATTACATCCCAGCTGGACTATTGTAACTCCTTATATGCTGGAGTTAGCCAGACCTGCCTGGCAAGGCTGCAGTTGGTCCAGAATGCTGCAGCTCGTCTTCTGACACGTACTAAAAGATGTGAACACATTTCCCCGGTGCTTGCCTCTCTTCATTGGCTTCCTGTCCACTTCAGAATTAATTTTAAAATTTTATTGTTGACTTGCAAAGCCCTGAATGGACAGGCTCCCGGGTATTTGTCTGACCTCTTGCAGACTTATACCCCCTTTAGATCTCTTAGATCAAGTGATCTTTTGCTTTTAGCCATACCAAGGTCGAGGCTGGTTCATAGAGGCGATTGGGCATTTGCAGTCGTAGCGCCTAAGCTGTGGAATAATTTACCCCTATACATCAGGTTATTTTATTAGGTATGTTGTATTCTTGTACAGCACTTTGGTCAACGCTCCTGTTGTAATTAAATGTGCTATATAAATAAATAAACTATAAACTATGTTCGGACGCCTTTGGTCCCAGATGGAAGAAGTGCATGTAGAAGTAGGACACAATTCTCCCCAACACTGCTCTGACAGGGTTCGCAGAGGTCAAACCTCCCCGGTGAGCCTGTTTAATCTTTTGAAATACGCTGCTGCAATGAGCATGCCTGCAGCACAAATATGACATAATGACATCAGAAGTCAAGTATTCCTTGCATGACAGGCTGCCATCTGACCTCAGACAACAGTCTGATATCAAACTGTCCTGGCAGGTCCCTGCTATGACTAGCCCAGTCTAAGTGGCTGCCAAGTTGCCTGTTGTGATCACATTCTGTGTTTGTTTCCACTTCACCAAGCAGCCTGGGCACTGTGCGACATGAAGAGTTGCGTATACATACTGTTCTTTGGCTGTATTTGGTTTCTGTTTTCAGAAATTACGTTACCTCAGAGATGTCCCTTTTAAGGGACCTATTTTTTATGGCTATTGACTGCCTTCCCGCATTACTTCATAGTCATGTGAAAAAGAACGTTTACACTATGGGACACTATGCAGTTCTAAGTACGCCTCATGATCCAGTAGCTTGTAGAATCACCTTCAGATCACTGAAGCTGGACGGTACCTGTTTATGCAAAACACTTTTAAGGTCCCATTGCGTTGTGTCAATCAGTTTGAGGTCTGAATTGTGACGGTGCCATTGAAACGCCTTGATTCTGTGCTTCTGTTTCAGATTCGTTGGCATGTGTGGGATCATTGACCTGTTGTATGACCCAGTTTGGGCCAAGCTGTAGCCGTCAGGCAGAAAGCCTCACATTTGGTGCTGCCATGTTCTTTTTTTTTGAAAGAACGCGCTTTCTCCTAGACACCCTTAAAACAAAACCCATACGTCTGCAGTTGTTTTCAAATAGTCGATACCAGCTATCATACTGACTGAGCCTTGCATTGCACTGGCCTGTCCAGGAATTTCACCCCATATTTAATCTCCATACTTAGTTTGTCAAATGACTGCAGAGAGCCCTAAACAAAACTGAACTAAACAAACACTTGCTGCCTTCAGCCGATAAATGTGAAATTTTTTTCACTGTTCATATCAGACTGGAAACAACAAGTAATATAGTGAGAGAGGCTGCCATGATGTGAGACCAGCTTGATCCGTGATCTCTGCTGCAGTCTCGTAAAACTTCCCTAAATTCATAGATTTGGAGTTGATCTCCAGCCAGGCAAAGAAATCTTTAAACACCTGTGTTTAGAAATGTTTGGCAATAAACATCAAGTGTGGTGGTCTAAGCTGTTTGAGACAAGAAGCAGATGTTAAAAGAATGATTTAGAAAAACAGTATATGTTAAAAGCAGTGGGTATTCCTGCATTCAGATTTAGTGAGTTAAGAGGAGATTTTACACAGCATCGTAGGAGCTGTTCCTCAGCAAGTGTTTACATAACTGAGCCACTGCTGCCTGTCCTTATGTGGTCATGTGCTTCAGCTGAGCTATCCAGGAAAAAACAGACCTCCCTGACCTCAGATGAAAAAGGGCTAAGGATGGAGTGAAGAAGAGCTCTCACTCACTCTGATCTCTTTGTGCAATAGCAAGGAGATTCCTCAATCAGACTGTGTAATCATTCATTAAGCAGCAGGTTGTAAGAATACATTTTCATGAAGCCTGCTTTTGGAGATATGAACCAAACTGTACGCAAACTTATTTCACACTAAAGGATTAGGAAATTGGGGAAATTAGGCTTTTTTTAAACTTAATACTTTAAACCTTGAGTGGGCCCTGTGGGGATTACACTGCCAGATTTTTGGGAAAAAATGAGCAAGTCCTTATACGACCAATAAACGCATAACATCCGCATTGAACTGAAGCCAGAAAATGAGCCATAGTTTGAATTCTACTTGTGATGGCAGCTGCACCAATCTGATTGCCTTGTTAGGAAAAATTGAGGGAGGAAGAAGTGCCACATGTAACTTAGCAAGGCAAAGCAGAAGAAGGAGGAGGAGATGAACAACAGTGTGTCAGACTGGTGAAAACAGCCTCAGAAACAGTGTTGGCTTTACCATGGGCACCCAGTAAACAGAACTGTTTCCAGTTTTATTAGCTTGCCTGGATCAACATCATCAGAAGTATACACACGCAAGCCACCTGCATGAGCTCACTGCTAGAGCGTATAAATGATAATGCTAACGTCAGCCAAGACAATCATAATTAGCAGACTCTTCACACTCCTTCTCACTGCCTTCTCTTCCTTTCCACTTTCTGCCACAGCATCACTCCTTCAGAGCAGGCTAGTTGACTACAGTAGGAAAATCTGAGCTACACCAGTGCAAATGACACTACACTACACACACATAAACTCATAAAAAAATCTTCCGCATTCACTCACCTTTCCCTACTTCTCTACAGTGTTAACTCTTTACACAACATCTCAGAGCTCCAGGCAACCAAGAGTATCTTCCTTGTTTTCAAAATGACCAAATCAAATGAGGAAATGGGTTCTTTTTCTTGAGTAACAGTACTTGGAAACATTACTGCCTATTACGACGTGTTACTATCGATGCATTAATTCATATGTATTACGATTACATTTAGTGAGTCCTACCCAAGTGGCCTATCTCTTCACACAATAGCATCACACGATAAAGCAAATGTGTGAAATTATTAATGCGGGGACTAATTTGAGTCTTTGCTTTTCGTGGAACATCAGGTAATTTTTTTTTTATCTTTCTGTGGACCTGCAGGGATTTTTACAGGAAAAGTGTTTTGGATCTAGTGCAATTACTTGTTTGCATATTCAAGCATGTTTTAATTTGAAATAAACCTAGTGGGCTATGATTTCTGAATGTGGGGGAATGGAGAGCACATATTTCCAGAAACATAATGAAGCCGAAGTAGCAGAAACTATCTGATCTGACTATCTCAGCTATCCTAAATTCTTCCTTCTGTACAGCACGTGGCTTAATGTGCTTACTTACATTTCACCACTGTGAACATCTGCCAAATGTTGAGTGTCTGCCAATAATGCAAATGTGTTCCTGTTTACTTTGACTTCCTGCTGCACACAGCTGTAACACATATTACATTGGTACAATTATTGCATCAACCTGACTCCACGGCTTTTTCTCTCCCAGGAACACACTGCCAATTCAGATTGGGCTGGCTTCATGGAAAATTAAAGCCAGAGTTTCCCCGGCAGAGAGAGAGTGACACTTGTTGAAATGCGAGCAAAAGAATCCAAACATCCACCAGAGGCATTCGCTGCTGGCAACAGTGCAATAATAATGAGTGTGTCTGTAGTGTTGCGTGACATTACTGTACGTGCTTCCAAACAGACAGGATCCCATTGTGTTTGGTTCCCCCCCCCCCCTCTTTTCTTTCTTTCCCTTTAAATGTGCCTGTCACACAGAGTTCAGCTCAGTCTGATGCACTGACATAAACAGTCAAACTACGCCCGTGAGAATAAGCCACTTAGGCAGAAAAAAAATAACAGGAAATTACAGAAGGAATGCTTCAATCCAAAAGTCTTTTCCAGAAAATGTGGTCAGACTCTCAGCACTTCAGAGCAAATACTTGCCTCGCTTTCACAAGCCAGCAAATAAGCTGTGATAAGTGTCTGAAGAGTTAGGCAAATACACATTAGTAAATGAACTATTAGCCTGTTGATCATATAATGATGTTTTTTGTTTAACTGTTAGTATCCCAACAGCAGATGTCCAAACATATATACTGCTATAATATATATCTATATATATCTATCGTTCAAAGTAAAAAAAATTAATAAATTAACTGACAAATTCTTTAGCTAATTGTCCAAACTCTTAAAAAGCTGCTTAATGATGCGTCCAGTTGTCTTAGATGAATCAACAAATCAGCCTGGTCTAAGGATTAGTCATCAACATCTACAGAAAATACTATTCTTTCTTTGACTTTACAGAGGGGTCACACTATAAAGTCCCTTTACAGATAAATAAAGAGTAAGATAAACTAAGAGTTGTGATATTAAAGTTATTTAAAGCCACTGGAATAAATTACCAAAAATTGCTACAATATCACAAAATATTACAAAAATGTATCACATTCAGTTTTTCCTGCAAAGGTGCACCGCTCTAGAAATAAAGCTTACTCTGTAGTTTTTTTCTGTAGGGGACGGAGACGATGGTGGCGATTCTGTCAGTGACTTCCTGGTGCGAGTCAGGTCCTTGGTGCGTGGGTAGTAGGATGACATCTCCCTCCTCTACCCCGGACAGGCAGATCAGCTTCTACTGTAACATTCACCGAGGCCACCACCAGATAACAGCTGCACACACGCACAGATTCCCTCAAGCAACAGGGACACAGATGTCCATGACCGTGCTCCTGGGGAATCCTCAGCAACAACAGGTGTGTGTGTGTGTGTGTGTTTATATGTCTGTTTGGTGTTTCAGTGCAGCCACAAATGTCCCAGAAGTGGACACAGTTGCTGCTAAATCTGGAAGGATTTCAAATGTGCGGTCACGGCTTCTTCAAATCTCAGGCAGTTAAACAACAAGCAGATAAAAATGTTAAAAAGAACCACAAAACAAAATAATCTCTGGAGATCTAAAGAAAAAGAGCAATTCAATGAAGAAAGCAAACGAATGAGTATCCCTTGTTCTGCTCTGTCAGCACTGAAGTCCGCTATGAAATGCACAAAAGTCCAAAACAAGACAAGAGAGAAAAAGTTTGTTCCCTTTGCTGCTTCTTCCTGAGTTCCCCAGTTATACACTCTCTGCCATCTCCCTCCCTCTCCTGCTCTCTCTCTTCTGCTCCTTTCACTATTTGGTCACCCTCTCGGTCCCTCTGCTTCCCCAACCCCCACCCCCCCCACCCCCCTCCCCCACTCCACCACCTCTCTTCTAAACTGCACTCTGGATGAGTGTATGACAGGCCAGGACATGTTCCCCT